TCCGGTTGGGGTGTCATGTGCCTCCTGTAACAACTTATGCTTGAGATCAGGTACCTCTGGTATAACTAAGCGTCCTTTATATAATAAAAATTGATTAATTGATGGAAAAGCCAGCAACTGATGATGGATCAACTTGTAATTTGTTTACTATATTGCTGGTAACTGGGTCATTTTGGAGTCCCAGTTTGATGTCAGCCACCTCTACACAATAGGGTACCATAAGGACCAATAACTCACCCGAATGGGGTCGTCGAGATAAGGCATCCGCTCCTCTATTCTCTTTCCCTGCTTTGTGAATAATAGAGAAGTCATAAGGCATAAGTTTTAATAGTAAATGCTGCTGCTCGGTAGTTGTAATCCGCTGTTCAAGTAAGAATTTCAAGGTGTAATGATCGGTACGGATGAGAAAATGCCGGCCAAGTAGGTAATGACTCCACTTTTGTACTGCCAATACTAAAGCCAGCAGCTCCCGGTCATAGGCTGATTTAAACCGATTAGAAGGGGAGAATCCTTTGCTAAAATAGGCCACGAGGTGATCTGATTGAGACAATATAGCCCCTACACCATCAAAGGAATCGTCACATTCGACGACAAATGGCTGTGAGAAGTCGGGTAACCTCAAAACAGGAGTGGACAACAGTGCTTGTTTCAATTTCGTAAAGGCGTTTAGGGCTTCTTCCGACCATACAAAACGTCTATAGTATCCCGTTAGACCAAGGAACCCTCTCACTTCCTTGACTGTTGAAGGTATTGGCCAAGATTGCACTACTAAAATTTTTTCTTCTTCAACTTTAACACCTTCCGAATTAACCACATGCCCGAGAAACACCACTTGTGGCTACCCGAAACAACACTTCGACATCTTAGCGAAAAATTGATTGTCGTAAAGTAACTTTAAGGCTTGTTCCAAATGAGATTGGTGTTGCGCCATGGTATGGCTGTAAATCAAGATATCGTCAAAAAATACAAGTATGAAACGACGTAAAAAGGGACGAAATAAATCATCCATAATAGCTTGAAAGATGGAAGGTGTATCTGTCAACCCGAATGGCATAACCTTGAACTCGTAATGCCCCGAATGAGTACGAAAAGTCGTTTTTGCAACATCTTGAGCAGTCACTCTGATTTGGTAATACCCAGATCATAAATCAAGCTTAGAAAATATCGTTGCACCATACAATTCATCCAGTAACTCGTCGATATTCGGAATGGGGTACTTGTCGGCTACCGTTATCTTGTTAAGGGATCGATAATCGACACACATTCTCCAAGTATTATCTTTCTTTTTACTAGTAATACCGGACTCAAAAATGAACTAGCACTTGCTTGAATAAACCCGGCTATCAACAGTTGGTCAACTTGTTTCTCTATTTCTGTTTTTTTGTGAATGAGGGTATCGGTAGGGTCGGATATTTGGTGGTGGTGTGTTGAGAATTAGGGGAATGGAGTGGGTTTGGGTTCTAACAGGTGGGAGGGTTTTGGGTTCCTCAAAAACAGTGGAGTATTGGTCAATAATAGGTTGTAGAGGAGTTGGAATTTGTGGGTTGCTCATTGATTCGATAGCCAAGTGTTGGAAGCTAGATGATTTTTGGGGTCCCGTTTCAATACCTTTCAGCTTGTATCCCTTCCCATCGATAGTGAAAATCATAAACAATTATTTCCAATTTGCTTGGACCGTATTTAAGGTGGCTAGCCATTCAATACCCAGAACTAAGTCAGCCCCTCCAATTGAAAAAAGGTGGAAGTCTTGAATAATCTTCAATTCATTAATTTGTACAGAAAGATTTTTGCAAATTTGGTCACATGGGATTACATCTCCATTACCGATTTGAACCCCGAAAGGTGGTATAGGTTGGGTCTCAAGTTTAAGCTCTTTCACCGAACAATCTGAGATAGAATTATGGGTGGACCCCCATCAATTAAAATTAAAACCTCGGTAGAATTCAACATACCATGGACTTTCATCGTTGTGGGATGCGAATGCGATTTCTCGAGAATAACATGCAAACTGATCCCTGCTGTCTCCTCTTGTATCTCATCAGAATTACGAATTTCAGTTTCTGTTGCTCCACCAAGTCCTCATCGGCTTCTAATAGTTTCAAGGTACCCGCTTTACATCTATGCCCCGGACCATATTTCTCCCCACATTTAAAGCACTCACCCCTTAAATAACGGTTTTGTTTTTTTAGTGTCTGAAATTTTGAACGGAGTTTTTAGTTGGTTAGAGGGTTGAGGGATGTAAGGGGTAACGGTTTTGGAATCAAGTGGTGGTAGTGGTTTGAAATTTGGCGCCCCGGTAGGACTCTTTCCTGGTCGGTAGGTCGGTACTGGTTGGATTTGGACTCAAATTCCAAGGCAAGACTAATAGCGTTATAAACGGTTCGTGGTTTGTGTATTCTCACATCAACTTTTAATTCCTCCTTCAACCTGTTGAGAAAAACCCCTAACAGACAGTGGTAGTTCGAAACCCGCGAAGATAGCTTGGCAAATTCTTGACGGTATTCCTGTACCGATGCAGTCTGTTTGATACTACAGAGGTATTCATCTGGATTTTGAAACTCGATTGGACCGAAGTTTTTGGTGAAGGTTTGCACTAACTGTTCCCAAAAAGTCAAAACATTGATCATCCGAAAGCCAAGAATAGAGGTCTAAGGCATCTCCCTCTAGCATGGAGGCGATTTCTGCCTTCTCTGCATCAGGTATCTGATAATACCGAAAATACTTTTCCGCCTTTAGTATCCAACGACGTGGATCCCCTCCATTAGAAATAGAAAAATCAATTTTGTTGTAGGGTCTGTATCAAGTTCATCCCCTCCACGAGCTATCTGCATCGTCACCCTTACTGCCTTTAGATCGGTCTCCTTTCAAGGCTGCAATGTCTTCCTTAATTGAATCGATGGACTCCAATTTTGAAGCAATGGCTGCCAATTGAGCAGTGATTTGGTCTGGGTTTGAGCCGCTGCTCTCAGAACCGCTCCGGGTTCGAACCATCTTCGAATTTCCCGACAATGGAACCAAATGATAAGATCTAAAATTCAAATAAGCAACTTCGATCGGAATTGAAATAAACGGCCCGATTCGAGAGGGGCAATGTCTCCAATTACACAATACTTTGATGATGGAAAACAAGAATGAGAAATAGCGAAAGTAAAAAGCCTGGTTTTAATAACCCACGACATTTAGTGGCTTCCCCTGAAAGTAGGCAGAGGAATAGCTCCTCACCCTTTCATCTTCCCGCTAATAATTAGGCATAGTAACTGCTTCCCAGTCTTTCAATTTACCTCTAACTTCTTGACCGAGTGGATCCAGCTTAAGCCCAAGAACAGAATTCAGTTGGCCCATATCGGCAGCTGTGGCCTGTTTCCTTCTCCTCACATATACTTTAATTGGGCCTTTATCACAGAGGCTGGAGCGATACAACCAAGTGACAGTCCTTTTTCTAGTCCCGTCTTATTAGTTAAAAATAAAGACGACAGTCAGAGGTTCTGTATTGATTATCGGGCTTTAAACAAGTGTATAGTAGTGAACAAGTTCCCAATCCCGGTTATTGATGAGTTGTTAGATGATGTACATGGGCCAGGGGTGTTTTCTAAGCTAGATTTGAAGTCTCGATATCATCAGATCAGGATGAGGGAGGAGGATATTCACAAGACAGCATTCAGAACTCATCAGAGACACTATGAATTCCTAGTGATGCCCTTTGGGTTGGTGAATGCCACTGCCACTTTCCAAGGGCTAATGAATGAGGTGTTTAAGTCTTCTCTAAGAAAATTCGTTCTAGTTTTCATTGATGGTATACTCCTATACCGTAAATCGATGGAAGAACATGTGGGACACTTGAAGCTAGTGTTTGAGGTTTTAGCTTAACATTGACTGTATGCGAATAAAAAGAAGTGTGAATTTGGTCAGCATCGACCGGTGTACTTGGGACACGTGATCTCAGGCGAGGGAGTAGAAATGGACGGTTCCAAAGTCAAAGCAATGTAAGAATGGCCCAGTCCCAGAAACGTTATAGAGCTAAGGGGTTTTTTGGGTTTATTTGATATTACAGAAAATTTATAAAGGGGTTCTGAGGGATGGCTGGACAGTTGACTGAATTACCCAACAAGAATCAATTTGTTTGGAATTAGAAAGCTCAAGAGGCATTTCAAGATCTGAAGGCAGCACTAACAACAAATAACAGCTCCGGTGTTAAGGCTTCCAGATTTTTCAAAAGACTTCGTTATTGAAACCGATGCTTCGGGTTATGGTCAGGGAGGGGTTCTCATGCAACAAGAACCAACCAATTGCTTATTTTAGTCAAGCATACGCGGGCTAACAATCTATGAAAAAGAATTGACGGCTATTGTCTTGGCTGTTCGAAAACGGAGGCGAAGAAAGTTTGTTGTTCGAAGTGATCAACAAAGCTTGAAGTTTCTGTTAGAACAGCGCATTATCGAACCAGAATAGCAAAAATGGGTTAGCAAGCTTCTTGGGTATGATTTCTCAATTGGATGGAGGTGGAATGTGCTAATTTAGGAGGTCCTCAATGGCGGCAGTGGGCTGAATTGAATGTGAGATTGACAGCGATGCCCTTCTAATTAAGATAAAGAATGACTTGGATGTTGGTGATTTTTGTGTCACCGGTTTCATTTGCTGTAAGAGGCATATATACGAGAGCTAAAGGGGATCTTACTATCATGTTATGCAGCATCTCTCTTCCGAAAGAAACCAAATCAGGGTTTCTTGCGTTGTTTAGATGGTCATAGTGGCAGTTGGTAAAGACCTTTAGCAAGATCAAGAATGGATTTTACACGAGCATGTAGTGCACATGCATTGCGTAATTTTATATAACAGGAACAGGCCTAGAGAGAGAGAAATTAAATTGAAGGTGGAAGTGGCAATTTCAAAACAGCTTCCAACTGTATGTGGCATCTTTCAAACTTCAAAAAAACTTGTGCATTATGTAAATTGTGTAAAGGATCAGTTTTTTTTTAGGCAAGAAATTAATGGAAGCTTACATATTACTAAGAGCCAGCTCCTTCGCCCATTTTTCAGCACGTGTCACCAACTACAAAAATAAAGAATCTTAACATTACAAATACTGACCAATATTGTATTTTCAGAAATACCAAATACTATGCAATCCCAACAACCAGGTAACCACTTAAAAGAAAAAAATATCATGTATCCCGAAAAAACAGTTGCCATACCTTTTTCCGTATATCAAGACCCATATAGTTCTTGGAACCAGGATTTCTCTTGGCAAGCCACATGAGAAATCTGCCACTACCTGAATTGTTTACATTGTTGGAATAATTATAACTTGTTTGAATAGAAAATTAATTAACTTTAAGACCAAGGGTTCTAGAGGATGTCATACACAAGTAGTAGGTGCATGCAGTGACAAGGTGATGTAAAACCCTTATCCATGGCAGCTAGCATCCTAGTGTCCAAACTTCTACCTTGATGTACTCGATGAATCAATGACTACAGTAGAAGTATGGTGATTACAGAAGGGATAAGCACCAAGGAGGAGAGAGGACACATGGTGACTGGGAGAAGAAAGCGGCTCGTTTCTTTTCTAGTTACTTCATTTACAAGAGTCCTAGGTTAGAGGATAAGGTTTGGGAAAAGGGGAACTAGGGTTAATTTTATTTCGCTTCTTACAGGACATGGTGAGGAAGTTTTTAGCAATGGAGAAATATGTGGGGCTTATAGGGACAATAAAACAGGCAAGATTATCTCTCAACTGTCTTTTTGGAGGTGGAGCACTGAATGAAAGGTTCCCTTTGGTCAAGTCATAAAGGTGAATTTACAGTGTGATCTCTTTTTCAATTCTGTAATGCACTATGTACACATATAAAATTATAGTGTGTTTCCCCGTCTAATGGCTCCACAGTAAATATAAATCACAACCTATAATAGGACTAGACCATCATTTGGTAAACTACAACTTTTGGTTCTTCCTCTAAATCCCTACAACTATATTGATTTTACGATTGCTTTCTCCATAGAAGATTATGATTGTGAATTGAGCTAACCTTACATTTGGTCCTAATTGATGGACAAGAACCAGAAGAAATCCCTCATGGTCTCCTGAAGCCCTTTGTTCTTTTCGCCGCTCTAGACATGACATACTCTTCCTTCATAAACATATAGAGATGATTCCATGGAAACCCAACGCTCTGTCTCTGATTCTTGTTATTAAGAAGAAAAACTTGTCATTTTTTAATTGTATAGACCACACACTGGAAGCTGAATTGATTTATCAACATCTCAGCCCTTCTGAATGCTTGTCATACAAGACCACCCCCTTTTCATAGATATTTAAAAAAAAAGGACACACAAAAACATTGTGAAATGCTAGTTTTCTGATGCCGTGGCTTGCTGATATTAAGGGAGTGTACTACCCTTGACCAAGTCAAGCCAACTCATGTTACCATTTACCACATTCCTTAAACACCTTGTTTTCAGATGTTAATTATGGCACCCTTGACACTCATGATAAGAATTAGTTTGATGAAGTTGAGCAATATTGAGGAGTAAAAGCAACATAATACGAGATGGTTGGTCATTCCTAGGCTATAGCATAGAAGAGGAAACTTAGACCGAGCAAAGAATATCAGGAGAGGTAGGCATAGCAAGGATGATATCTTCATTTTAGTTGAATTACATCAAAGGAGTTGGTTTTAGTCTTTAGGTACAAGTCCAGAGAAAGATTCTATTTATGTTATGGAAACCTAAGGAGATGGCCTTCTTATAACTTTTGTTAGGATTAATTGGTGAAAGGCTTGTTAATGAACCAATCATTACATTGGGATTTGAGTTGTCTTTCTAATCTTTCCCAACTGGTTTAACATAAAAGTCTTTGTTATAATCTTTCAAGGCTGCATAAAGTAATCTAGATCCAAGGCTTCACACCCATAATATGGTATGGCAAAGTTTGACTCAAATGTTCAATAAACCAATAACGAGTAATTGGTGAAGCTCGTCCGTAGATGAAGATCATAAATAGGAAGGAGCAAGTATATCACACATTGTACTGTACGTGCACACCCATACGTCTATCCAACGTCAAATGAAACACAATATTGCAGCACATTGCAAACCAGATAACATACGCCAAAGCTCATATTCATGACATTGATCAACCTAGGAACCAAAAGTAAGATATGCTCATTACCGCTACCAATGTCCACCACTAGAGGCAACTTTGGGTGTTCAAATACATCATTCCAGTTCGGCACTTCAACAGGAATCTATCATAATATATGAAAGGCAGAACTATCATTAAATGCATCTTTCCAAACCAAACATAACATTATGTTCACATCACCATGGGTGAACGAGAAAAGGCCTATAAACATAATTTTCACCCTAACAATTTTGAGGGAAAAGAAAGAACATACCGACAATGTAGAGCTAAGCGGGTTAACATGTTGCCTCACCCGAGTAGCACCCAACTCCTGATAAACCACGAAAAGAAAAACAAAGCATCTGAATTATTTGAAAGAAAACCCACTAAGTTTTGAAGGCAAATGAACTATTTATCAAATCCAGAATTTATCACAAACTCAACACTAATATAAACGTTTAAATGTGATTCTCAAGTTTTTTTGGGCATGAACACAAATCTTATCGAAGACTAAGTCTCTAATTCAAAGTTGAGTGCTAGAATAAAGGGAAATCTTTAGAACGTTAGCTGCTGATTCCTTTTTACTTTTTCTTAGGTAGTTTCCTACTTTTTAGCCTTTTTCTGTTTTATGTAAAGCCTATAAAAGGCTGGCTTTTGGTTAAATAAAATATACAGCAGGTTTTACCCAAACCCATTACTTTCTTGCTTTGTCAATTTCCATCATTGTGGTATCAGAGCCAGGTACGAAAGGCTTCTGTACTTCCATACCTTTTTCTTTTGCAGCAAGAATTACACTCCAGCAGAGAGATGGCATCAAGTGGTTCTGCAATTAATATTTCACATCCCCAAATTCCCATTTTCAAGGGTGAATCCTATGAGTTTTGGAGCATCAAAATGAAAACCCTTTTCAAATCTCAAGATTTGTGGGATTTAGTTGAACAAGGAATGGCAGAATCAAGTTCAGATGATACAGGAAGCAAGGAGAGTATAAAGAAGGACGCGAAGGCCCTGTTCTTCATTCAACAAGCTGTGGATGAGACTATATTCTCAAGGATTGCAGCAGCAACTTCAGCAAAGGAGGCATGAGACACACTCAAAATCGAGTACCAAGGTTCCGCCAAGGTGATCACGGCGAAATTGCAGTTCTTAAGGAGAGACTTTGAGTCAGCAATCATGCAGAATACTGAAACAGTTCAAGCGTATCTTGCTCGCATTTCAGGCATTGTTAGCCAAATGAGAGCATATGGTGATAAAGTGGCAGATGACATTGTCGTTGCAAAGATTCTTAGGAGTTTGTCACCCAAGTTTAATCACGTTGTTGCAGCCATAGAGGAGTCCAAAGATCTATCCACTTACTCAGTTGATGAACTCATGGGATCTCTCCAAACGCATGAGGCTAGAATAAACATAAATGTTGCAAAAGAAGATGAGCAGGCTTTTCAAGTTCATGGAGAACAAACTCGTCTGGCAAATCGTGGTAGAGGAAGAGGTGGATTTAGAGGCAGAGGACGCGGAAGAATGAGCAGTACTGTCCACTGTACCTACTGCAAGAAATATGGTCACAAAGAAGATGATTGTTGGAGCAGAGACAGACATGCACAATATGCAGAGAAAGATGAAGACTACTACCTTTTCATGACATATGTAAGTCACAAAATTATGGCAAAAGATGTTTGGTATCTTGATAGTGCATGTTCGAATCATATGACAGAAGATAAGGAGAAATTTAAAGATCTGGATGAAACACTGAAATCACAAGTTCGCTTGGGAGATGATAAGCAAGTTCAAATTGAGGGGAAAGGAACTATAAATGTCCAAATACAAGGCAAAGATAGATTCATACGAAATGTGCATTATGCTCCAGGTCTAGCACATAACCTATTAAGTGTAGGACAACTCATAAATTCTGGTTTTATTGTTGTTTTTGAGAACAATGAATGTACTGTTAAGAAAAGGACAGGTGAAGTTTTGTTAAAGTCTGTCATGACAGATAATAAAATGTTCCCTGATGACTTTGCTGGCACAAATATTTATGGGATGATGAGTTGTAGACAGGAGAATACTAATGTATGGCACCAACGATATGGTCATTTGTATGTGAAAGGACTACAATTACTTGTCAACAAGGAGATGGTGGAAGGGCTACCGGTCATTAAAGAACTAAGTCATACATGTGAAGGGTGTGCCTTGGGGAAGCAGACAAGAAGATCATTCCCTGTGGGACAAGGAAAAAGGGCCAAGGAAAAGCTTGGATTGGTCCATGCTGATATATGTGGTCCCATGAAAACAAAATCTTTTGGAGGCAGTAAGTACTTCTTGCTCTTCATTAATGATTACTCTCGAATGTGTTGGATTTATTTTCTTACATATAAATCAGAAGCTTTTGAGTTTTTCAAGAAATTTAAAGCCCTCATAGAGAATCAATGTAATAGAAAAATAAAAGTATTGAGAACGGACAGAGGAGGAGAGTTTCTCTCACAGGAGTTTAGTAGTTTTTGTGACCAACATGGAATCAAGAGAGAACTTACAGCCCCCTATACTCCTGAACAAAACGGTATAGCGGAACGGAAGAACCGGACTATCGTCGAGATGGCAAGATCGATGCTTAAAACCAAGAACTTGGAAGACGAGTTTTGGGCCGAAGCAGTAGCAACGGCTGTTTATCTGATCAACATATCTCCCACGAAAGCTGTTTGGAATGTCACTCCCTACGAAGCTTGGTATGACTCTAAACCCTCTGTCAATCATTTGCGTATATTTGGATGCATATGTTATGCTTTGATTCCATCCGGTCGAAGCAAGTTAGATCAAAAGACAAAGAAATATATATTTGTGAGGTATTCTTCCAGCTCCAAAGCATATAGGTTATTTGATCCAGATAAAAATTATGTTGTTATCAGTAGAGATGTGCAGTTTAATGAGCAGGAAGTTTGGGTTAAAAACACCAACAGTTCAACAACAATTACAGAAGTACAAGAAGGCCTCCAGGAWGAACAACCGGTTAATGACCAAAGTGATGACAACAACGGTGATCTAGAACCTTCAAATGGAACTCATGGTAGTTCTTCAAATGGTAGCAACAGTTCAGAGTCCTCTCAAGAA